ATTTGTATCCTGAAAAATTAAGATATTATTACATTGTAACAAATAATTTTCCTGGTGGCTTATTTACATGTGTTCGTGAAATAACATTAAAGGAAGAACATCCTTTTGAACATGAATTTTTTCTTCGAATTGCTCAATCATTTCCATTTATTACATTTCTGTCTATAGAAAATTCGAAATCCCAAAATAATAAATTATCCAAAGAATCAGAGAATAATAATCAAGTTTGTTCCATCATTAAATATCCCTATCTTACAGCTCTTACACTTCTCTTTGCTCATGATGATTATATTGAAGAATTTCTAATTCATACGAAAATATGTTTACCAGATAATGCTGTTCATCTTAACATTCACCTTGAACAACTGGAAAGAGTGACATACAATTTTACAAGAGACTCAACACGAATCAATTGTGCAAAATTTCGTTCATTATGTCTCAATGGTCATCGGCTTCCTGAATATGCAGAAAACTATTTTCCAAATGTATGAATATTGATTATTATCAATATTTATGTAAAATAAATTGTTTTGTGTAGAATAAAAGTATTAAAATGGAGACAGAATTCACTTCATATTTGATTGAAGAGACTCGCATTTATGTATGTATAAGAAAAATTACATATGTTAACATGGTACTGATAACAAAATAGTAAAAATATGTTGTTTTTTAGGAAAAATAAAATAATTTCAAAATAATAGCTCTAAGTCGAATTATTTGGTTCTATATAATATGAAATACGTCTTTTAGAATTGAACAATAAATAGAAAACAGAGAAATTTAAAACAAAGCTGTTAACATAATACGTGTTGATTAAGATCTCGAACGCGAAATATTTGCTGTATTAAGAGAATAAAGCATTGCATAACTCAAAATTTTCAACTTATTTGCATGAAGTTTGGTTATTCCAATTTATAGTGATTCAAAAAATGACACAGTACATCTCAATTTTGAGTTTTGACGTTATTTCTGTGACAACTTGTAAGTAATATTCACAATAAATAAAATTTATTTCAAATTCAACTTTTTTTAGAAATTTAATCAGTCTTAGTCTCATAATTGATGTTTGTGATGTTTTAACATGAAAATGATTAGCCATTTTAGTGTTTACTCCTCTTATACATGCAATATATCTTAAAAATTTCCATCCTCATGAACTTTATCGATATTAAAAGCCTTTGACTTGAGATTTCGCTACATGTGTATAGCGAAGAATATTGATCGTGGAGGGTGTGGCCATTAGATAAGCTATTGTGGATTTCGTGAAATTCATCATTCTAAAGCCAGTTTTCTCAGCTTTCTTACGAGGGAACATATTTAGATGTTCAAACCTTGTAGAGCTCATCTTTTCGCCATAAGTAGACCTTGATGAGATATGAAAAACCTAAAAAGGATTCATCCCCTCGCGCCTTTATTCGCCAAATATCGAATCTCCAGGATACATATGAAAATCGACAAGGAAAGGATAAACGATTGTTTCTTGAAAAATTAATAGGGCATCACAGGATGAAATCTCAGTTTCGTATACTATTTGAATGATGTGTTCTGAGTTAAAAGTTAGATTAAATCTTATGAATAACACTTCTACTTGTTGCTCATGAGCCTAAAAGATACTCAAATTCTTTATTTTCTTTCTGCTTTCATTTTACACTACAATAACCCTTTCGAAAAGCCTGAGAATGATAGACCATCTTTTATATGATTAACTTTTTTCTTTGCAAGCATGCCATTATGTCCTAGTGGTAAATGTTGTATGCTCACATTTTGTCTTTCATTTTTATTCTGTACTCTTTTGTGTATCACATGTGTTGTGGAGTCGTTTTTCTTTTCATTCGATTGTAAACAACATATAAGTGTGGTGTGAAGAGACAGTTGATATTAGTTATTATTTCTTCTATTTTAAAATGATCAATCCAATAAACGTCGCAAAGATTTTCGTTGATTGAGCGTCGAACTTACCGTCATCTACTTTTTCGAATACTTCGACTAGCGGAAATACTATTACAAATCGTGGGTGCGAAGTAGCCGAGCTACTGTGTGGTGTGGGTGGGTGTGGATGTGGATGTGTGAATCTCTACCCTCACCCACACCCACACTCTTTTTCTTCTATATAACTGTGATAAAGAAAACGTGAACATAAAATTTCTTAATTGAAAAAAATTGTTTTCGTCGTGAGATGGCACAAATTTTCAGCTTCTTCTCACTTGTAACAAGCATAACTCAACATGCAAGTGACGTAGATGCTGCAAGTGTTAAAGGTATAAGAATCAAGTCAGAGGAGTATTTGGTAAAATTTTAAATGATTCAGGGCTTCCTAACAAGAGATATTCATAATTTAGAATAGATGATGCAATTGTACCGACGGGATACGATTTATTCATGTTTAGCACAGTTTAAGATAAATCTAACATGCATCGATCATGTTTTTTCTTTTAAAAAAAGTTATTTCAAAGTTTTCTGTAACTCGAAGATCGTTTTTATTTAGTTCATCCGACACATACAGGAAGAAGCTGTTTGTACTCTCCAAACTTATTGCATCGTTTTTCAGGGGTTAAAAACTTTTTGTAGTGAAAACAAGTGTCCTATATATTTCCTATATAGTTGAACAGAATTCTATATGAATGGTGCTTTTTAATTCCTATATATTCCTATATTTTCACCAAGTGGCGCTACCAAGCCAGAGTTTATCTGTTCTATAAAAACATCATAATCGTAAGTACATATATTCGAATATTCTGTTCTATGAACTCGTTCGCATCCCTCTTCCGAATAACTCAGATCAATTGGCAACTTTGGAAACTAATTCGCAATGCTTTTCAATCAATCTGCTGTAAAATGTAGAATAAAACTGGTATAATAGACATTTAATAATGATTGACATCTCTATGTTTCATTCGTAGCTATAAACATAGAAAGAAATCCTCAACGTTACAAAACATAAACTATTTATATACTTTATTAGTCTGACATTGCGATCAATACTTTTTTCCATATAGAATATCGCATTTTTACTTTTAAATTAAAAATTTTATAATAAAATGAATAGTTTGTTTATTAATATGAATAAAAGCTAAATCAAAAAACTATTTGTTAATATTCAACAGTCTTTCTTTTTGTAAATAAAATATTAATCTTGTCTAATAGATGTAATTTTGCGTTCAGGATCATCTCCATTAAACGAAATAATAGCACGTTTATCTTGGGTAACTGTTCCATCTGCATCCATATGTAACTTCTTTGGTGGTACATAACCAGTAGCAAATCTGCCTGTACTAACTAGATGTACTTTATAACCTTGAAGAATAATAATAATATATCAAGATGAAATGGAAAAAAAAAGATTTTCTTACCTTGATTTTCTAATTCTTGTTGAGCATTATCAACATTTTGTCCAACATATTTTTGTAAATCTTGTTCAGAAAGAGACATCTTTTGTTCTTCAATATTGTTGTTTGGGTTCTTAGTTGAAAAAAGGTATTAAAAACTGTTTTTTCACCTATGTGTAATGCAAAGTTGGCTACTCCTAATTACTTTTTCGTCTACTTATATAAATGAAAGAGAGAAAAAAAACGAGGTAAATATATATACATATGTCAATGATTGTATACCATAATAGACGATTAAATCATATACTATCGATCGTAAAAATAAAAAGTATGATGATTCTATATTTTCCTCCGTCTTTCTCACCAAACATTTTTCTATTCACAAAAGAATATTAATAATTAATCATCGAAATTTGATATATGCGAAAAATATAATGTATTTACACATAAAAGATTTTAAAAACCATCTAAATAAATAACGAAGTGGAACAATTATTTATTAATTTAATATAATTTTTAAGTTTTATATTACAATTATAAAAAATTTAAAAGTCACATATTAATTAGAAAATCTCTTTTTTTTAAGAATAATATATAACAAGACAACCATTGTTTATTAACAATTTTCGTTTGATAGATTGAATAAATAAATAATGCAAAAGTAGAATAATTTTTATTATCAGATAAATCTTTAAATTAATAATCTAATAAATCATAAACATCAAACATCATTATCATATTTAATGACAAATAATTCAAATCAGAATAAATATCTTGCAATAGATAAATCATATAATCTTGATTTTTTTCTGTTAAAAAAAGATGCACCTTGAAAAACTCTAGAAAAACAGGAAGAACAAATTCCAATTGACTTATTCTGATAGTTTTTCTTATATTCAAAATGAACAGATCACATGACGGTGCTATGTCTCATTATATTTAACATAATAAAAACATTTCGAAGACTTTTTGTTTGGGAATAAGAATTTGTTTATACAACTTTAGTAGAGTTTTTCACAGCGCCTCTTTGAAGAAAATAATCAAGATTATATGATTTATCTATGGTGAGATATTTGTAAAATATCAAATGCTGTAATATTTATCCTACACTTGGTATAAATTTTGTCTTTGCGTTCTTTTTTTCTGGAAAAACTCATAAAAAACTTCTGGAAAAAACAAGGGATAACCGCTCCATCATCCCTTTGAAGTCACCATTAGATAGTTAATACTTATGTGGGTGTGGGTGTGAGCATGGGTGGGTGTGGGTGCGGTTGAACTAAAGACTTACAACTACATCCACCCACACCCTATTGCTTTTTTTATTTATCTGAACTGTAACTATTCTAATAAACAGAAATGCTTTACTATTAATTAATGACATCTGACAGAATATCTTATTCTATAGTGTAATAATCGATGACTAATCATCTACTGAATAATAAAAGTTAGAAGTTGGGTCGAAACAGACGACATATACACATCGATAAGTCATTCAATCATGACTATCATCTTTATTTTCCTCTCCTGAATTTATATCTTCGTCCATCTATGAATGTTATTGTTCTCCTGGTATATAAACAGTAGTGATAAACATATTCGAACGTAAACATTTATCTTAATTCATCGTCGTCGTCTTCATTCAAACTACTTGTGTTGTATTCTTATTTCAATGAAATGTCGTCGTCTGATCAATTACAACTTAAAATAATGCTTGGAAGTAATGAAGAAAAAATAAAAGTAAATATTATTCGTGATTTTGTGATCGAAAACAATTCTCTTTTTTTTAGTTATTAACAAATATCATCAACAATCAGACCTCAACTAAGGATCAAATAAAAAGTGCTCGTGAATTACGTGTTGGAATCAATTTTGAACTTAAACAATGGCAAGGTAAATTAAAATAGTGTTTTCTACTAAATTATTCTTTTTTTTTCAAAGATGTAATTAACGATATCAATATACTTGAAAGAACCATCGATTCAACTGAACTTCAAGTTATGAAAAGGTAGGCATTTTATTCACTCTCGTATGAATAATATGCTTTTGTTTTAGTAAAGCGACTATACAGGAATGTTGCCGCAAAGAACGTGTCTCAATGATGAATCTGATTCATAATGAAAGTAAGTGTGAAACTTTCGTTTTCAGTACAGTATTTTATTTTTTATATAGAGCAGACCAATGAAATCGAAGCACATTTTTTTAATATTAGTCAAAGATGCGTAGATGATTTCATTGAAGGTAAATTTTTCTAATGTAAATTATATATATTGTTTTGTGTTCTAGGTCAAGTTGTAACAAAAGCTCGTCAATCAACAGCTGTATCAAATAAACGAAAAAAAACGTCTATTTAAATATGCTTATTTAAAAAGTTTCTGTATGTGGACTAATGGTTTTCGTGTGAATATGATATTTGTCTATAATGGTTTATTTAATATCGTTTACGATGACTCATTTTTTTTATGATTGTCTTTATACAGACCTGGCAGCGGTCCTTCTTTCCTTCTTTTTTTAGAATGTCCTTCTTCGTCCTTCTTTACTCCTAAAATCCTTCTTTTCCTTCTTTTTTTATTTTTCATGCGAACAGGTTCTCAGAAACGTCGAAAAACGGATTAGCAATACTTTGTTCGAGTTTGATATTGATAGGGAGCTCTCAGAGCTCTAGAAAATGTTTTATTTACCTCAAGACCAATACAAAGTTCGTTATACTTAGCCTAAGGTACGCTTGTGTGGCTTCAGTTCATGTGGGGCTCATATGCAGAGCTTGAGATACGTAAAATGGTGCTTCTCTAGAATACGGTTACTGTCAAAAATCTCGAACATTTACTCAATGATACAGCATAGCTGAAGCTGAGCCATCTCATAGTCATAGTCTTATAGCTGCCTGTGCCAATGGTCTTTCGTGGCATATCGATGTTCAATAGAGATTGTTAGATTGTTGCTTAGTATAACAAAAGACGCAGTTTTATTGGTGTCGTTGTTGATAAACAAAAGCAGAAAGGCGACTGACATTCATTAATACTCAATGACAGTGCTTATACACGAAAATGGGAGTGGTAAAAGTACGTTTATTTCAACTCAACTCAAAATCAACGTTCAACTTTCTACGCAAATTAATTCGGTAAATCAGTTCCAGACATGATTTTGAACTTCTCTACTTGAACTATAACTCTTAATATGTTTTTCCAGTTTTTCGTTCGGTTTGAAATTTCAGAGGCGACTTTGGACTTTTCTGCTGGAAGAATTCATAAGTGACAATTGAACTTCATATCGATCGAGAAACTGGAAACTTATCCAGTTAACTCAACTTGATGGACGATACAAAAATCACACAGGGATCCCATTCAGAACGAGAAACCTGAAAAGCGTATCCCGATCAAGGAAGTCGTAAGGCATCTCAATCAGAGCTTCGGCTGGAGTGGGACCATCCCCTCCCATCTCATCCTGTGGAACAAGTTGTTTTTTTGAAATATCTCATGGGATAGAATGGAACGATTTTCTCGTCCTATTGGATTTTCTCCTTTTTTTTCTAATGAAAAAATGCAGGTTCTTTTTTGATGAAAGATGGACTGAAGGTACTTTATAAAAACGGTGGATCATAGGGTTTATTATACTCTCATTCTTAGCCTTTTTTCAATAGAAACAGTTTCGTTTCTTACTTTCTTCTTATATTTTTTCATGAAAAAACGTTTAATGTTTTTACGAAATTTTAAACCATGAAAAGTGAAACTGATTGTGTGGAGTTCTGTATGCTTCAAGCCCGTTTAATTTTTAAGTAATTCCACCGCCGTAATTGCTAATTATATGGACAAAAAGGCATTGGCATAAGGAATCTTTATCATCTCTACTTCAAATTAATTTTCAGCCGAATTTTTTACAAGGTTTGATTTAAAGAAAACCAATAGGTCGATTGAAAATTCTGATAGATTCTGCTGAATCTCAACAATTATAAAATTCATCAGAGCCCATAAAGATATGCAGAAATCTACTGGATGGCACTAGAATACGAAAAGATCTTCAGGGACCTTTAGTAATCTGGGAAAACTAGCTAAACTCATTAGAAGCTGAGGATTTATGGATAAGGAATAAACTGGAGAAGAAGTTTTATTACTTCTTAATATTTAGCGACATGCAGTTGAAATCTTCTAAGAAAAAAGCAGATCCTGGATTCTGGTGGAGTCTAGTAAATTCAGACGGATTCGATGGCTTATGATGAATTTACTATCGTATTCTTTGAAGTTCGCTAAGGTCTTAGATCCGCATTTTTGTCGTTGAAGAAAGCAGTAGGGTTTATGAGCTTAGTGTAAAAAAACTAAATGGCAATTAACTGATGTAAACGGGAAGTAGTTAAGAGAAACTGAGATGATTGAATAAGAAAGTCATAGAAGTCGAATCACGGCGTAAAAAGATGTTGTTATTAGACGGTTTGTCCCATGGGATGGGATGGGACAGATTAAGTGGGCCCATGGGATGATTTTTTCGTCCCGTTTCATCCCATCCCATTCAGACCCATGATCTCAATCTAAGCGGGATATGTCAGAGATATCGGATGCCGAAAAATATTTTTTTATAAGTTGAAAGATGATTTCGAGTTGAATTCACCTTTCGACATTAAGAGGTAAATTAACCAGTCAGCTTAATTTCGAATCATCTTCAACTTGTCACATATCGGCGACAGAATGGTGTGTTTAGGCTAATTCTTTGTCCCGCTAGTGTAAAAGTGACAGATAGAAGTAGCCACTGTGCGTGACACTTTTTCAAGGGCAGAGCGAAGATGGTGTCACATATCTCTGGCATCCTGTTAATGGATAGATTAATCATATACAAATTTTTGTGATCGCTACACAGCATAGCAATGCATGTGGGTGAGGATGTGTATGACCTGTAAAACTACCGAGAGAGTCATTGAGACATGGGGATGACAACAACATTCATGCATGTCGCACGACCAAGGAGACAACTGCTCGCCTTTGAAATTCGTTCTCTGTTATTATTCTCTATAAAACCAGGAGAATGTCCGCGAAAAGTGACAAAATAATAATTTGAAAATTATTTTACTCCTTTAGGCTCAGTCCTATTGTTTCTTATTGGATGTCGTAATTACAAAATCTATTCGTTGCAGCGCACTATTCCGAAAAATTCCTTCCTTTCCTTCTTTTGTTCGAATTTCCTTCTTTTTTTTTGAAAAATTCCTTCTCAAAATCCTTCTTCTTCGTACCCCCCTGCTGCGACCCCTGTTTATATTCAAATACGTGTTTTTGTGATTATAAGTCTCATGTAAAGTTTGATTCTTGTAAGTTAATTCTTTTTTTTCGTTTTTCTTTTATGTTTGACAATGACTTTATTCGTCAGAATAAAAATGAGAAAGAAAATTTTATCTTTATTCAGATATTTATGATTAGGCTAAAAGTTGCTATAATTGAAATTGGGATAATTATAAAGAGATTTTGATAGAATTGGAACTAAGAATCTAGATAGTGCTATTTTATTCTTCACATGCCTATAGAAAAGCGCATTGTTTTGTGTTTCTTTCCGACGAAGAGATCTTTTTGATCGATGATAATAATAAATACAGACAAATAAAAAAAACAACTTACATTTAAATCTATTTTGTTTTATTGAAAAAAATTCTTTCTGTTTATTATTTTGGCAATTGTGATATTCTGTCTTATTACTTAATGATGTCTGTCAGAATTTATTTTTTGTATTGGATAATATTCAGATCAATAAAAAGCTTTTTGCTTGTTTTTCGTCATCGTTATTTTTGTGATATTAAATTAAATTTAAAACAAAACGATAGCTAGTCCGCATGATGAAAATGAAATAGTTGATTTACATGAATTATGTATTGAAGGTGATAATGCAGAATTCAAATCATTATTAGAAAAATCAAAAGAAATTGATGTTAATCAATATAAATTATTTGTTTATCGTCCACTACCAAATAGTTCAAAAGAACCAAATGGATTAATGAAATAATCAAAAAACGACATCATTCGATAACATCTATCATCGAATGATATATCTCAAATTGGTACAGATTTTAACTCCCCTATGTCAAAATTTTTAAAAACTTTCAAAATTCGCACAAATACCTATATGTATTCGAAAATAGAAAAACATAATTTCTTGAGAGCCACGATATTTGAAGTCAAATGAAAAATCAAAAACTCACTGAAGGTCTCATATAGATTGAGCAGAAACTAGAGATAAACTCGCACTATACATTTCTAAGGAATTACCAGAGGGAGCGGGTATGTTCTGTTAAGTCATACCCACACCTATATCCTTGAAATAATACGTTATTAGCACAATTCTAAGATTAAAATGTAAAAGAGAATGTAGCTGGTCTGTATTGTTTTAATATGCCAAGTTTCGAATATATTTATTTGTTCATACTTGTATTTGATATTCTTATCATCATTGGTTTGTCACGTTTCCTTGTACTGAACGAAACTAGAAGATGCTAAACTATTTGCGTTTTCAATACATTGTTAACTGTGTAAACAAAATCTACGTTGGATGATCGATAAAAGACCGATAGTAGATATTTTTTTTATTCGAACGGAGATATACACCGTTGTGAGGTGTGGGTGTGGATAACTCTTCTATACCTGTCTATACCCACAGCCACACCCACACTTCATAGCCACTCATATCCCACATCCTTAATATTGACCGACTGCATTTCACAAAATAATTTTTTACAGAAAATCAAATCCAAGTTCCACTTCAAATGACATGATCATTTTTTTGTGCAAGTTAGCAATGTTTTGGCCGATTTGTTAAATTTTAAAGTATTCGACGTTGTATAACATTAACTTATCACAGATAAGAGTTTATTTGTCATTTATAGAGTAACTAATTGCTGAAGATAACTTCAGACGAATACATTCTTTTATCAATGTTTTTAGTTAGAATTGATATAATAGGTATTTGATTTTGATAATAAAACTTGATTTTGATTGAAAATCGTATTATTTTGTTTTTTTTTGATATATTTTGAAACTCTGTGTAAGGATTTTGTAGAGCGCAGAATTCTCTATAAGATGTACTATGTGCATATTTACTGCCAAGTAATTATCATAATGAAAAAAAAGGGTCATACTAAAAACAAGTTAAAGAAAGAAAAACTGCACTTTTTAGTATTAAGACTCAACTTTTTTAAAGAGTTACAGGAGGCTTTCTGTTCAGTTGTACAAGCTCTTTCAAATGAGACATTGCTCAAAACACAGATGAAAAATGTCAGAGATATAGGCAGAACACTGAGGGAAGCCGTTTCTCATTGGCTTTTCAAAGTCCTACACATGGCAACATCTGAGACTCCCTCAAAATAACATCGTAGAAGCCCAAAAAATTTATCATAACTACAGTTTGACACGAGTAAAATCGGGTTTCTCAATGGTCTCATACAGTCTGTCTTAACATCTTTGACCAGCATTTTATCGCGAAGCTTTGAAGTTAATAAAGATAACTTTTTCTGTTATAAAATTATACTCTCACCTTGTCAGACAGGAGGAGATGTTATATCATGTTTTAAAAAAGGGAAAAAGTTACTGTCATTATTTTTGTCTTTTCTGGAGGATAGTGTCTGCTTTTTTTTTGTTGTTAGTAGCATCCATGTTTTTCATCTTCTCATGGATGTCTGTTGAACAATTGAAATTTATATTTGCCTTTTGTACACTAGCATCGACTTTTGAAAAGTACGTCAACTCTTTTCGTACTATCTGTGTGGAAGTTGACTAAATGTCTTTTTAAGTGACAGTCTCTAGTGAAACTACAAGTTTTCTCTCCTTCTGGACAATCATTATTGAAGTATGTTGTTTTTGCTATTATTGTGCTTGGTTATTGTTTTATTTGTCAGTGCATTTGTGAGATGAACTTGTCAACAGTTGAAACACAATAGGCAAGCAAATCTGTTAGAGAACGCAGTTTTTTCCTGCAGAAACTTGCTTCTATGTATTTATCGTGCTCTTTTCCTATTCTCATATCTCTGTATCCTTATATCCATGGACTTACTGGTATCCCTATACTCTTATGCTTATTGTCTCGTACTTATAGTTCGTCCTTACATATATATCGTTATAGTTTGACTTTTAAGTCTGTAATCCAATCGATATATTTTTTATCAGTTCTTTTCTTCTACATACTAATAATCATCTGAATTTTTTGATAAAAATTAAGATCTCTGCGAAACATATGCATAGACATCTCTTGTGAAATATGATCGAAAAGGAGTGTTGAAGTATAGTGGTGTGAATTTAGAAGCTTCTCCACCCCTAGGTGTGACAGACATCTTACCAATGACTCATCATAGATGTCACAAGCACGTTAGAAACGGCTGATCACAGACGTGATACACACAATAATAGAAACACTACACCGCGACAGTCATCTTCGCAATACTCTCCAGCTTTACATCGCTGCGACGTCACAGACTGCTTATGAATAACATCTCGTTATAATAAATGAACTATTTTCTTGGTGCATTTTTAGACCATCAAATGAAAGAATGCTACAGCAATATGTCTGAAACAAGATACAATAAAACAATGTCTCTGTGATTAGCAATACCAACTACATCATGTTTCACATTTTCATCCTACAGGGGCTTCGCTAACTACTATTTCAGCAAAAGGGAACCTATAGAGTTCATAGCATATTTCTCATGCTTAATATATACATATCTCTCATTTTCAATAAAGCTCAGTCTGACAATATCAACAAAAAAGACGCGTTAAAACGTGCGGTTTTTACATACTTCATTTCTAAATGAAGACAACTCATTACTTCATGATTACTTGAGAGCTAGTTACGTCCATGTTTTCTAACTATTTTAGCTTTGTTCCAAGCATACATCGGTACATGTATCGATGTTAGGGAGAAATAGAGTTAAATAATTAGAAAATATAGTTTTAACTAGCTCTCAAGTAATCATGAACCATTGAGTTGTCTTTTTATCTTATTGGATTCGCTTATCTTTTCATGATAGGAAGTAACTACGTGTTGATAACTAACATATGCGTATATTCAAAGATATTCTTTGAAGATATCAACTACTATTATAAAACTATTCTCTAGTTATGGTTCTATGATCGCAATAAAGTCAATATAATAATTCATTGGTATCGTCGGCAGCAAAAAGAAAAAGAAAAAAACTGATATAGTTGATGACGATAGATCAATTACTCCTATGACCGAATTGTGTAAGACGCAATAAAGGAAAGACAGAGAACTTAAAGTCAACTAAACTGTCGAACTCATTTCTTGTTTTTTTTTTACGCAAGAAGATTTCTCAATTGGCTATACTCAATCCATCTCAACTTATAAAAGAAGAGAATTTTTCTGCACAATAATCAATGTTATAGATTATAAAACAAGGAACAATATCATGAACATGCTCGTGTGAAAGAAATATGAATGTCAAAAAGAATGAATTTGAACGAAAAAATTTCCAAGCAGACAGACATGTCACTTTTTATACTGATTTGATCTTTAAAGAAATATACGTAATTTAGCATGTTCTGTTTGTACATTTTTTTTCATCAAAACTTTTTATGTCAAAAAACGGTCAATTTTTTTTCGCAAAAATGGACAGAACGTTATGCTGTCGAAACACGCACATGTTGCAGCTAACAAGTTTTACTTTTCTATTTTACTTTAGTTGCATACTGATGCTCTTTAACCAGTATATTCTAAGGTTAAATTTCCACGAAATCACATTATACTTTCGATTTAATAGAAATAATCATGTTCAAAAAGTTACGTTAACTTAGCTTTTTGAACATGATTATTTCTATTAAATCGAAAGTGTAATGTGATTTCATGGAAACTTAACCTTAGAATATACTGGTAAAAAAGCATTTCTATGTCACTGAAGGAAAAAGAAAGTAATTACGGTGTGAGTGTTTTCTTGTACTTCTCTGACACTTATACCACACCATACGGCACGCATATATGCATACAGTTATCTTTATCTTGTATTCTAATAACAATTTGATAACTGGCTGTTGTAACTATCTTGAGGATTTGGGTTTAGGATGTGGACGTGTTTCTATCTTTTGAGTCTTCCCATAATCCACAATCATACCTCTCATCGACGCTCACATTATCACACTGAATCCTACCACCAGACACAAATATTCACGTCCACAATCATAGCTACATTCATACTCTAGACTTTAATTAACTTAGAAGAACAATCGCTCATGATTTAGATTTATATCTGTCACCTTAGAATCGATTTGATTTTAATTCAGTTACATCTTGGATAAAGAACAATGTACAATGTGCAAAAATATAACGCTGTGTTTTACGAACTAAGTCTAATGTCGATAATTAAGAATGAAATGCGAATTCAGTTGTTAACTATTTCATTGATGTTAGAAACAATAGTCTATCACAAAATAATGATCAGAGAATAATGAATCACGAGTGGCAAGAGCAGAACTAAATGTAATAGAAATCACAGCAGTAACTTTCAAATAATAAAGGATAAAAATATTCATTATTGAGAAAAAGAAATAAATAAAAAGTTGACAATCGCTATTAAATCATGCTATAGCCAAGGATACGACAGAATTGATGTTCGAATCAATTGCCTGTCGATAAAGCACCTGCACCCATTCCATAGCCGACACCTTTCGGAGCAAATAAACGTTTATAACAATCTAAAGTAATAGAATTAAATTATTATAAGAAATGGTACGATTTCGTATCTTACTATTATCATAAAGATAACCATCATGTTCCGAGTAATCTGCACCGTTGATACTCTTATTACACTTTGCACATTTGTAGCATTGTTTGTGAAATGTCTAAATAATATGTGCGAATTCAGAAATTGAAATAGGTCTTTGAAAATTTCACCTGTCCAGCAGCTTTGACTTCTTCAGCAAAGTAGACAAGTTTCTCACAACGTGGACAAATGTTACCCTTTGCCTTCGGAATTGTCGTATTGGACGAAGGTAACCGGGGATTTGTCTCTGATGTTGGTCGTATGGTTGATGTACCATGATCCATGATGCCATGAGTCGCACTTGTTTGATCATACTATTTATAGAAACAATAATCTCTATGGTCCAATAATATTTATTTGAAGTGATAGGAAAATCGTCGATTTGTTGGTAAGTCTTTTATCACTACTATTGAGCTTTGTACAGTAAATAGAGCTACTGATTTCAGGTTTAAAAGCACCAAAAGAATTTCGCCCTTGAGCAGTTCTTGCCTTTCGTCTTTTTTTTTCTACAAACATCATCAGCGAAGATGAATAATGTCCTCGAAAAAAATCTTGTACATTGATTACTCTATAAAATAACGTGTATGTCAGATGTAGGCGTTGAAACTTCATATTGTTTACCATCAGTTTAAAAGCATTTTCAAGAAGTTGACATGTTTGATAAAACAACAATTATTCGATGTTTTGACAGTTTCGTGAAAAAAAAGGTGACTGAAAATTTTACGGATTGGATAATTTGATTTAAAGAGTTAGTCTAACGGCAAGAACCATACAAAAGACATGGTTCGATTTCCTCTAGGTTATGTTCAAAATCATGTTCAAAAACAGGAAGCACTCTACAACGCATTAATTCCTTTTTTGAATGAGATAGAACAATCATCTTCTTCGGTTCGAAACAATACTTTAACTGAAAATAAGTTTTGATTTTTTTTTAATCAATCTTCATCACTGTCTGTATTTGAATGAGTGAAACAATATATTCTATTTAATCTCATAAGTTTTGTGCAAATTCATAAAGAATCTTACAGATACTTTGTTCCCTGTTGTTACTTCTTCAGTAGGTAGAGACTGAAATAGAACGAATCAGAAACATATTCAATGAATGAAGAATAGTAGAATAATGTGTTCATCTTACTTGACCAACAAGATGACTCAAAACATTGGAGGGCTTGCCTGAAGACATAGATCACAGCGAATGATTCACAATGGTTTCTTTCAAATTAATTCAATTTATTGTCTAGGCAAAAAGTATACAATTGAAACTGTACAAGTCATATTAATTCGAATATGTAAAATGAAAAAAGATGAAAGTCAACTAATCAGAATCAACTTGCATGATCAGAACATCTTAGTATCGTATAATCCATGTAAAAAAAAGTAAAAAAGTGCCCGTTGGTTACATAAAGTAGATCAATATTTAACAAAGATAAGATTGTTTGCATCTACCGAATGCTTAAGCGCATGAAACAAAATACATGATGTGACGAAAAAAACACCAAGGTAAACTATTGACACCTTCACAACTAATAATATTTCTCTTGTAAAATACCTTTTCGTTTTGTAAATGATCTATATTATGAGTTGTTTCGTTACTAACTGATTAATTGAAAAAATAAAAAAGCCTGTCAATCGGTATAAATAGTTGTAAATGTACATACCTCTTTACCTCACATTGACAATTTGAATTGCCATTTATAGAAACATTGTAGAAAATGCAGAACACGTGATATCAAAAAACCCTTTACATTTACACACTATGTGTCGAGAACTCACTAAGCTATCGATTGGTAAAAAAAGAAAACTTTTGTATCCTTACTTCGTTTCTGAAATTTACGACTTACAAACAAGACAATTATGTGATCATTAGAAAAGAACTTCTTCTTTTTGAATTGTCTTTCTTCTACCTACGAGAAATACTTATCTTGATGATGTACTACGCAATAAATATTGACGACGGTTGCTGCTATTGAATAAAATGTGTTTAAAAAGTTTTACATGGATTAGTTGAATAAGAGATTGTATGACATAAAATGGCAACCGTTGCTGCCATTGGGAAGTAATGGATGAAAAAAAAAACTAGAAACTCTCCTCTAAACGCAATACTTGTTAATATTTACGCATAGATAAGTAAAGAGACTGCTGTTATTTACTAATACGATTGTCATTTATTGTTATATAAATGTCTAGCATAGGTGAGTGTTGGTGTCGATATCGCACCAGATAAACTTCAAATTATTCATACACTCACACTGTAATTCTTTTAAATCTTATCATATTCGAAGTTGATGAAGAATGATTCAATCATCAATTATACCATTTACTTGATGATGTTATCATTTCGAGAAAAATAGGCTGTATGTACGTAGAAAGTTGTTTCAAAAACACATTTGTAGAGAAAAAAAAGAAAATATTTTTTGTGTGTTAGTGTTTTTCTTTATTCATATTTTGGAATCAGAAAAAAATTATTGTATTTTTTCGAAATCAAAAAGCTATTCCCATAAGATTAAACATAATTTTCATGTCGCAACCTTCAAGAAGACGAAAATACTTTGTTTCAATAGTTGTTTTATTAGTGAGTCTTCTGGACGCTTAATACGAGTAAAGGAGTACTAGATTATCATCAATGAGAAGACCGGTTAAGATTCTTAACGGCACAAAAATTTTAACTGACAATAGTTATGAATTAACATATAAATCACAGTAACAAATGCCTTAATTATTTTTTTCTTCAGATGTGAGCATGAGAAAAGCCATATGAGGTTTTGAAGGAATACACATTACGTTAACGTACGAGAAAATTGATTGTCTTTTGATTCATATGACTATAGTTACTTTTCTTAACTGAGTTGTTCAAGCCAGAAGGTCAACTTCATGTAGACCTATTTTTTGATCATGACGCAATCTTAGTTTAACTATTATTCTTCTGATCTTTCTCCTTGAACGAAAAAAAAAAACATTGCTTATCAATGCTATTTTCATAATATTTATTCAAATTTCGTACAATAAGTTTAAACTGTTTTTCGGTATACAATCACTATTATCGTTTCACGACTAGAAAATATAAATATTTAAATAAACAAACAACACACATAAGACTACGTATTTACAAACTTTTAATCAATACTAATTTCGTTATAATCATCCTGTAGCAAATAATATTTCAACATTCACATTTTCTTTATCATTATTATTAATTTCTTTTAAATACCATTGTTTCTTTTTTGTTAAGATATTTTTCCAAAATCCATGATAAAGAAGAATCATATTAAGATAAAGTCGTTCATCATTAGTCATTATTCGTTGAGTTTTCATTTCACTTGGAATCCAAATATTTTGACGATCAAATTGTGAACAAATAAGACAAGGAATATTACCATTAACAAGTCCACCTCGTCGTTTAGTTGCCATAATAAATTGTCGACCTACATTATTTTTATAATTAAATTCAATTTCATTTAATGATGATGTTTCAAATAATTGAACGAATTGTAAATTTAAATTTGAATTTTTATTCAAAAATAGATGTAGGAAAGCTTTAAGTGGAAGAAAGGGTAATTCTTCAAATAAATTTCCATCTAAACTTTTTGTAGATGGCAATACTTTTGATAAATCATTATTACGACCACGACGAATTATATTCCATTCATAATTTGATTGAGCTTGTTCAATAACTACACTATAGGTATGATACATCGAAGAATGTCGATCACTGTAACAAATCATATGTGATGATGGTAGAATTATATTTTGTCGAATATCATGAAGATTAATATAAATTTGATTATTTGATTGATTTTTAATATATGGATAAATATATGAATCGATTTGAATAAAGCCACCTGCTTCATCAACAATTGAAAGGTCTAACTAAAAAGTAAAGACGTTACATATACATGGTATGTGGTGCGTAGAAGAGTGTCACGTCAACGAAGAAAGTTTTCTAAGGAATATAAAACTTTTAATTCAAGACTATACGCACTATGGATACCGAAAAGAGTTATGAATATCCTGAAAAGTGTTCGTGCAATTGAGCTTATTGCTATGGTGCCTGTGCACATTTACGATAGTTTTATAAATGAATACCATAGTTCTCCTTTGGAACACCAGATAGACTAATTGTCGAATTTCAAATTGAGACTTTCTATAGACACAAAACCTTAACGAGAATAGCTTATTGTGAAAGTTTCAGTTGAAATCTGCCGACTTTATCTGAGTGATGTAAAAGATACATTATTACCATAGTTGTATCGTAGGATAGGAATAGAAGCAACATCTGAAATATTCACAAGAGATTCTACTTGTTAAAGTCTGTTTCTACGCAAGGTGTCAAGTCGAACTTCGAAAATTAGATGTCTAATATCTTCCCAGTAATAAGCTGAGAGCACCAACTCTTTTCAGGACATTCATAGTTCATTTTGGATGTACATAATGAGCATTGTCTTGAGTCAAAAGCGTTTTACCAATATGAGGACTTTCTTTGTAAGGTGTCTGTTATGGTTTGTGGAGAAAGGGTGCAAGTTTCTGTCCTATATACCAAAAACACCTCTGTGTTAGATCGTATTCAATAAAAAATTAATTAATTTCTTACACGTTCTTCAAAAAATGATCGTCGTTGAGCTATATTTGTTGATAAAATACATGTAGAATTCATCTCTTTTTTTTCTGTTAATCGAGTTAATACTATTTTTTCATCTAATATCCACCGATCTCGTGCTTCTTGACGTATTTTATTCAATGTTTCTTGCCATTCTTTACATTGTTCAATAGAATGAATACCATTATTAAAATTAAAATTTTTTGTAAGATTTACAATAGATAAAACACCATCAAGCATTGAAACACTTAATAATTGATAATTTGACCAATCTGAAGTATCATTTAACGAAGATAATTCATCATAATAAGTTTTTTCTGTGCTTGTCATTTCAATAACAGGTAAATTTCGAATATCAACTAAACAATTTTTATGTGGAGTATGTGAAAAAATATTGAGAACATAAGAAAAACGAATATAAGGAATATAAAAACTATCATTAAATAATCTATTTAAAAGAAAACGATTTATTAGAAGAGATCAAATTGTATGCAACAAAAACTTACCGATAGATAATCGGCATTTGATAATCGAAAAAAGTAACAATACCATAATGTTTTTTTGTTGAAGGAAAATCAACGGCACGTATCTGTTGTTTTGAACGAGCAAGTGAAGGAGTAGAATGAAATATTGGAAAATCAAAAATGTCATTTTGATGATCATTCATCGAACTCATACATCTCATATCATTATTAAAAAAATCAAAACCATCATCAAAATCCATGATTATATTAAAATTAACTGAAAATAAAAACTAAATATAATTATATACTTTAAATTATTAAATTAATTCAGTCATAATATAAAATGAAAATATTTCTTTTTGACACAATAATATATTTAATAGATATTTTCATACATGTTCATATCGAATAAAATTTAAACATCGATAAATTTCAAATGCATTTTTCTATGTACATGACTGACCTGATGTGAAAGAAAAACAAAACTGATCGCAATTATACATATATGATGATAAAATTGATGATTCATGAAATTCTTTTATTCTTTTTTTTCATCTAAATCTTTACTACAGATGTTGCTCATCATCAAGTCAAATGTATATGAAAAAAAATTAAATTTATTACAAATCTTCTTAAAAAAAAATATATATGATAACTATGAAGACATATATTATCTTTACCACATATTAACTAAATTCTGATGTCGTAGTAGATTAGGTATAATATGTTTCAGTTCACTTAATGCATTCAATTATTATATTACATGAACAACATGACAGTAGTATTAAGTTGAGAAATAATTTCATGAATATATTTCTATTTTTTTTACGGCAACTTAAGTTAATATATAAATTAAGGTTAAAGAAAAAAAGATCATATCAGTAAACGAATTAAGATTACTTTATCGACAACTAACGACAACTATTTATCAATTTTAGCATCACGATACGGGTCATGGTATTATATGGATAAAAAATATCATGCTCTTGTTTCATATACTGGGCAATATTAGGACACCGTTAATGTTATCATTTTCATATTTCTCTATATACATCTAAATCATACCTATAAACATAATTAAGAAAACACTATATGCATATCAAGTCTCTAAATGAAATGATTTATTATATTTAATATTTTCTTTTCTAACCATTCTAGATATAAATTATGCGTCATAAATTTCGTTGTGGTCGTTTAGTATTAAATCGAAATGGATTAGTCAAAAAAATTAATCTTTCACATGGTGGTGGTATTCGTGATTGTAAATTTAGTCATATTGATATTGGTTTTGACGAGATTCACGATAAACTCCGTGATATATTCATACCGAGTAACAGAAATAAATACAATTCTTATTATTTTTTTTTTCAATTTATCTCATAGATTCACCTAATCGTGTTTCGATGTTATACGATTTTCAACGTAAAAAATTAGATACTAAACGATATCAAAATTTTTACGACTATATTAATCAACATGGGTTAAAATTTAATTCAACGTTATTGTACTTATGCTTACCAGCAGGTTAAATATCAATATTTAATTTGATAATGATTATTTTTTTTTTTGTAAATAGGTAATGAACGTATTGCAAACTCGACATCAACTGAACAAAGAAGAAGAACAACAACAACAACACAATCAATACAAAATCAACCTCAAGTACAAAAAAAGTAAAGGAAAAAAATTTAATAATTAATTAAAAAAAGAATCTATTTTTTTTGTATATAATAGAATTCCTTGTATTGAAAATATGATCATTAAAATTGATGAGGATGATGATGACTCATCACATAATCATTTATCAACTCAACCGTATAATATTGATTTATTTTTCAAAAAAAAAACTACGTCCTCTTTCTTCTTCTTTCAGATTTCCACCTGTGAATCCTATAGCTGAAAATCTTCGAATGTTTTCATCAACATCATTTTCAAATTATTCATTTGAAAAATCATTAAATGAATTCGTTGATTATCTACGTCATTTAGTTACTCAATACAAACATGAAAATATATTTCTTCAATTATTTGAACATATCTGTGATATTAGAGGTCGTTCATCGAATAATTTAGACCGATTAAAACAAGAAAGTCAAGTAATAGATGATAAACAAAAAGAAGTTTATGATGATATTTTTAATAAAATTGAACAAACATCTCGATCAATTAAAGCATTAATCGAATTAAATAAAATTAAAATTTCTCATATTGATCCACATGCAATTATTATTAATGCATTTAATGTATTTCATCAAAATTTCAATGTAAGCAATTTGAATCATGAAAGTTTTTATACATCTCTCATTATCTCATTCTTAAAAGAAACTTTATTTAAAAATCGATAATATAGAATCGTCTAAAAGTTCTGACTTCTGCCTATTTTATATGATTCGATAGAGTTCAACAAACTCTACAAGAAAACAAAGAAAGATTAATAAAAATTTCATATATGCAGCTCGGAAAGGTTATTTTCACTTTAGTATATAGTACTATATTTAGAAAACATCAATTATCAGTGGATCAGTTAGTATTATTAAAAGTTAAGCTTACTCTCTCGTGCAAGTTATTGAAGGTGTTTATTATTCTGTTTAGTTTTCTCTATGTTGTGTGTTGACAACAGGATCAGAAGTTTTTTTTTAATATTCATCCACTTGTAGAATTTGTCGAACCAGGTAGAAATTAGTATTTTGCTGGAAAATGTAAAATGTTCAGTTGTATTTAATAAAGAAACTAACTTTTCATGATTTCGACGAAATTCGAAATAAGTTATTTTCTTTTCAAATGTTAGTTTTAGAAGTTGAAACTTTTGAATCATCTTTTAGTATTTAGAATAGATTCTACTAGAATTTATAGTAGTAATTATTGATGATTTGATTGGATTGAGTTCCAGTATTTTAAGATGAAATATTATTCAATGGTTCTCGCATGTATATATTTTTCTGGAAAGAGTATAATGAGGATTGGTCGCTATGACAATTAGTTGAGGTGTAGTATTGGTCTATCTCTTTTGAGACATATTTCTTCATTATGAATTGAATTCTGCAAATATGTAATAAGAGAGTAGTTCATGTATTATAGCGAGATGTTACTGATATATGGTCATTCATTATATATCAGCATTATTTGTCAAGACCGGTGATGATCTCTATATCTCTAGTTCTAATTTCATTTTATTCGATATGCTCAATATGTTTCATATAATGACTCCTTTTGAATTAGTTATGATACTATTTTGGGAGTGTACAATTTCAGTAAAAATATTGAAATACTGATTATATTGCAGAGCTGTACGAATTATTTGTACTTGAGTATACTAGTAGCTATTAATATTATTGCGATCTTTCTTGATCAAATTTTCAAGTAACATTCGTATCTTAGAAGGATGATCAAAATTTTTGTTGATCTTGTAGAGGAGTATTTCAAAATGAAATTTTGCAACATTATCAAATGTCGCCAATAAATTAATTTCAACACAGAAAAAATAAAACATTTTGAGAGTAGAAAAAATGGTTTTATTCGTTTTTGTTGTCTTAGATGAAATGTGTTGTACTAAAATAGTACGAGGTACTAGTTTCTCTACTTCGAAGATAAAGCATATAGCTAATTTCTTCGACTCTCGATCTTTTGTATAAGTATACTCATTTATATGCAACAATTATGCTGTAACGGTGTTGAACACATATCCCTGTACTATTTGTATATATTTTTTGCAAACATGATGTAATATTCCAATGTTTTTTTAAACATATTCTAAATATTTAGACTCTACGTGATCAATGGATTAATAATAAAAACAACAATCGACAAAGTACATCTGTTCCTTTAAGAAGTCCTGTAATTGATCGAACATCATCAAAAAATTATTCAACTGGTCGAGTATCATCATCATCATCATCAAATCGTTCATTTCATCCAACACCATCAACAAATTATTCAGCTGGTCGAGTATCATCATCATCAAATCGTTCATTTGGTCAACCACCACCAACAAACTATTCAGCTGGTCGAGTACCATCATCATCAAATCGTTCATCTGAACAACCACCACCAACAAATTATTCAGCTGGTCGAGTACCATCATCATCAAATCGTTCATTTGATCAACCACCACCAACAAATTATTCAGCTGGTCCAATACCATCATCATCAAATCGTCCATTTGATCAACCGCCACCAACAAACTATGCAGCTGGTCGAGTACCATCATTATTAAGTCTTTCATTTGATCAACCACCACCAACAAACTATTCAGCTGGTCGAGTAGCATCATCATCAAATCGTTCATATGAACAACCACCACCAACAAATTATTCAGCTGGTCGAGTACCATCATCATCAAATCGTTCATTTGATCGATCACCACCAATAACCCGTTCAACAAGTCGAGGAGCTTCAACTAGTCATTCAACTTATCAAGCACAATTAATAAACCGTCCAGCTGATCGAACATCATCAACAAACTTCTCGTTTTCATCATCTCGATCCCATTCTGAAACTTATTCTCGAAAACAAGCACGAACATTATCATCATCACCTCATCGGTCATCATCATCATATCAAAAATCAACAGAAGAAAACAAAGATAACAATATTTCATTATTTAGAAATGTAAGTTTCTATTAACTGAAAAACAAAATTATAATTTCTTTTGTTTTATTTTATTCAGATATTCAAATCATTTGATTATTTATTGAATGTTTTAAGTCATCTACGTTTCACATCATTCTATCATTATGTTAAATTAATTATCGATGAAATAGAAACTTGTCGATCAACTATCAAATTATCTAATTATGAATCTTTATGTGATGTCGAAAAAAGCATAGAGTCAATAGAATGTCGTATTACAAATAGAATGAATAATGAATATAATCATGCATCACCACATACAATAGATCGACAGCTTGAACATTCATATCGTGAAACATTAGATTCAATTCGTCAATTATTAACTTCATTTCGTGTTTATAAATCACGAATAGAAAACAATAAACGAGCAAAAACAACGCGTTGGTCATCATCTGCTCTTCCATTATGTGTTGAATATCAACATATTGAAACTAAACCAACAATTCAAATAAATCAATCAGATATAAAAATCGATGATGATCAAAGTTCTGAAGCATCACATTCATCATTAGGTGATGAAGTTTTAATGGAGGTAGCAAAAACTGCATACGAACATAGACCACATTGTTAGAAATAAATAAAAACTTGTTTTTGTTTTGTTTGTTATCATATGTATATATTTTGTTTTTTCTTTTGTTGGTGCTTGGTTTTCAACATTTAGATAAATGATATAAACTAAAGAATTATGTTTTCAGATAATGAATAATCTTCGCCGATTCATTTCAACAACTCACTTATTACGAACAATACAGTAAGATTATTTCTGAATCCTAGCTAAACAATTGATAATAATTAAATTTTATATTTCTATAGACCTAAATCATGGATACCTCGTCAGTGCAATATGACCTCAACGGCGATCAATCAATCTTTATACAATTTTTCTGAAGAAGAACGAATGATTAAAGAAACAGGTTATTTATATTTGTTAATTATTGATTAAATTAATATTAATTCTTTTGAATAGTTGCTCGATTTGGTAAGGAACACGTTGAACCTTATGTTCGTCAAATGGAAGAAGCAGGTGGATTCAAACCTGAATTAATAAAGGCAATTTTTGATCAAGGCGTGAGTCATTGTTTTGTTTTTGTAATTCTGTCTAATACATTCATTCTGCCAAATAGTGGTTGGGCATTGAAATCCCTACAAAATACGGAGGCAGTGGTTCCAATCTTTTTTCATGTATATTGGCGATTGAGGAAGCTTCAAAAATAGGTTAGAAAATTAAAAAGAAAAAAAAAATTTTTTTCTTACAATAGATTAAATAAGTTTCCGAAAAAATACGTTTTTTTTTTTATTCATTTAGACAGTGCTTTTGGAGGTATGAGCTAATTCATCAGTATTATTAATTAAAGTGTAGTTTTATTGATTAAGGTTTAATTGATTTACAAAATACAGTTGTGAATCCTTTTTTTATTCAACTTGCTAATGATGAACAAAAAGCCACTTATTTGCCTCGCTTAGCAAATGATATGGTAATTCATTTGAACAATATTATTTTCTGCTTTTTTTCTAGTTAATGGCTATCGATGTTCCATTGGAATATGGTGGTTCAGGTCAAACATTTTTTGCAGTAACTCTAGCCATTGAAGAGATGTCAAAAATTGATCCAAGTGTAGGATTATTTATTGATCTACAAAATACGTTAATGACTCGACTTTTTCTCAGTTATGGCACAGAAGAACAAAAACATAACTACTTACCACGATTGGCTAAAAATCTCGTGCTGTTTTTTTATTTTTTTATTTTCTTAGTAAATCATAATGAAAATTTTTTAAATGTTTTTTCTTCTACTTTAGATTGGTAGCTTTTGTTTATCCGAACCAACATCTGGTAGTGATGCATTTGCTTTAAAAACAACAGCAAAAAAACAAGGTGATTATTATATATTAAATGGAACAAAAATGTGGATATCTAACGCAGAAATTAGTGGAGTATATATTGTTATGGCCAATGCAAATCCACAAGCTGTAAAACAAAAAAAAGAAACAGAAAATAAAAATTTATTTGAAATATTATTTTGTCCGGTTTTTTTCCTTTAGAAACATAAAGGCATTTCAGCATTTATTGTTGATCGTGATACACAAGGTTTACGTATTGGAAAACGAGAAAAGAAACTTGGCTTAAAAGCATCCTCTACATGCCTTGTTCATTTTGATGATTGTAAAGTATGTATCAATAACAGCGATCTATGAACATAGGATAGATTACAGAATATTTTGCATCCGCAATAGGCTAAACTATATTTATAAAATCTCCACCCGTAAGTTAAGAATAAGAAAAAGGAGAAAGCGAATCATTTTATGTCATTTAGATGCAATGCAACAAGTGCTTCTTATTTCTACATCACAGTTTTTACTGTATAAACTTGATACCATCCCGAAAAAAAAAAGCATATCTTACATTTGTCTTGAAGGATACATCTCTGGTTTTGGACATTTCTAGTTCTCAAAGATGGCACAACCCATCACACGAAAACTTTCACCACAGATAGAGTACAAAATTATAATCTCGTCGAACTTGATTCGATTGAACTGAAATTTTTTTTTCAACTACATCTAAGAGGTAGTTTTTAAATGTTTCCAAATATTTCACATTTTTCATGAAACAAAAATAAATAAAGTTTCGCAGCCGAAACTGACGTCTTAGGTTCATGATCCTATAGATCTGAGTAGGGAAGTCAATTACGAAAACGATCGATTATACTTGTAGAGAATACTTCCAAGTATCAAGAGCAAAAAATTTCAGACCAATTGAACAAATTTAGATGGAAGCCGTAAGCTAGCAGAGTGTAGCCCAATGAAAAATCAGAATTTTACTTATTTCTAGCACTCTACCTGTGATAGAAAGTTCAGTTTGATCATTTATATCGTCTTGGAGAACCAAAAGTGGTCAAAAAAACAACAAAGATATCCTTAAATAATTTTTACTCTCGAAAAAAAAATTCGATCTGTTTCATTAAATAAGATACTATGGTGAACCAGTTTTCGCCACAAAAAGGAATTCTATTATGGTAACAAGAGTTTCTCGTACAGTACTTCTTCACTTTTGAGAAAAGAGTACTACTTCAAGCCATTCGTAATGTAATGCTCAACATTGATGATACTAAAAAAATTCATTATTTTCTCAAGAACGTTTTCTAAGTCTACTTCACTATGAAAATGCTCCTATTCGTTAGTGAAACCAGTAAAAATTTTTGACGTTTATACAAGAATTTTGATGGCCTGCATAAGCCTATAAATCTGATCGAATGACAAATAAATGTTTGAGCCTATTCAAGTTTAGTGGCTTTGTTGTCATTGGTATAGATTGAATATTTTGAATCGTATTACAATGTATGTCAAACTGCAAAAGTCTAATTTAATGTCTGTTTACTTTTTTATTGGAAATATTTTTGTTGATTCTTGATAATAGTATAATTTCATTGTTAATTGAGAAACAGAATCAAGTTAAAGTGTAACTGTAAACTGTATTAGCTCAAATTGGAGATAGACTGGGTCCCGATTTTTTTAAAAATTTAAGTCGAATTGAAACATTTTTATTTTCAATTCCTTCTCTTATTTCAAACAATTATCATGCAAACAGCTATGTCCATAGTAAAATTTCCGTATTAGTAGAGTCCTCATAACGGAAAAGTTCTGTGAAAATAAGCGGTGTTTTATATATTGTAAAAGACTCTCGTTTAAGTTATCTAATTAATTTTAAAAAAAAATGTGTAACTTTAATCAATATTTTTAAACGAAAGTATGTCTCATAGTTTGGATTCTTAGTGAAAAATCATTTCAAATTTTTCAAACTGTTGCGATTATCTTGGATAATATTATTAATTACCGAAGATTTTGATATATATGTCCATGCTTATTCAGTTATTATTTATTTTTACTGCATTCGTGTTAAAAAGAAAGAATATGTCATATTTTATTTTAACTATGATTTAATTAATCATTACGTGAATATATTTTTCTCTCTAAATGCATAATTCATTTGTTTAGGCTCTGATTCTCTTCAACCGAGAAAGATAAGAATATATTACAAAAACATCTGTTAGTGATGTGAAAGAATACGAAAAAAATGCTCTTATAATTTAATAAGAACTTCAACACCAATTTCAAACCGTACAAAGTCATTTTTCATATCGCTAAATGATACTTCGATAAACATTTTTGTTCCGAAAATTAAAAGAATCTATATAAAATCGGTTTTTTACGAGAAAGTTTTTTGAAATCTGATCTTATTGAAACGTTTCCCATAGATGCGATTTGTGCTATAAAGTCTATCTATCAAGTTTTCGAATTTTTTTCTTCCTATGGTTAGAAAGATATTTGCTAATTGTTTTTTAATTAGTTAATAGTTTTGTTTTGCCTGAATTACCCATATATATATACTTTTACTGTCATTTATACTATCGTTTATTTTATTCGCTTGCTTCAAATATCGAAATATTGATATAAACTGAATTATGTCTATCCTCAGTTTTAATGTAAAGAAAAGTTCAATTTCATCTGATGATAATTCAAAATGTTTAATGCTTACTATTTGATTATAGGTTCCAGCTAAAAATCTTCTTGGTAAAGAAGGCGAAGGTTATAAATACTCTATATCAATGCTTAATGAAGGTCGTATTGGCATTGGAGCTCAAGTTAGTAAATTTTATCTATAGTTTGTATCTTAGATTATTTATTCGATGTAGATGGTCGGTATTTGTCAAGGTACATTTGACAAAACAATACCATATACCAAAGAACGTAAACAATTTGGTCAACGAATATTTGATTTTCAAGTATGATGAATAATGTATCTTTTTTGATATATTTAAAGTTTTCTTATTTTAGGCTATGCAACATCAAATAGCTTCATTAGCTACTGAAATTGAAGCAGCTCGTCTTTTAACATATAATGCTGCTCGTTTACGTGATGCTAAATTACCATTTGTCAAAGAAGCAGCAATGGCTAAACTTTATGCATCAGAGGTTAGAAATATCTTTATATGTTTTTCTTTCTCTATCAATTATATTCTACTGTTTTATAGTTAGCCGGTAAAGTAACTAGTAAATGGTATGTATAGTTTTTTTTCCTATTTTATTTATACGCTTTTAATGAAAAAAAAGAAATTTTAATTATAGTATTGATTTTATGGGTGGTCTTGGATTTTCCTGTGAATATCCACAAGAAAAATTTTTTCGTGATTGTAAAGTTGGTGAGTTCAATTTTTGTTTTTGAGAAATTTTAAAATATTAAAAAAAATATATATATAATTTTAGGAACTATTTATGAAGGCACAAGTAATATGCAATTAAATACAATTGCTAAGTTTATTGACAATGAATATTAAGTTATTTCTATTATGTGATTTTATTTTTAAAATAAAGTAGATTTAGATATATATGATTGATTAATAGAGAGAAAGAAAAAGAATAATGTCTACTAATTTAATCATTAACGGGTAATTTGGTTTGATAATTCAATTTGGGTCCAGAAAAGTTTTGTTTTTGAGCAACACGACTCAAAGCAAAAATGCATGTCTAAAAGAATAGCGAAAAAATATCCGTAAATATTAGGAATATAATTGATAAGATAAGAAAACTTACTGTAACTTGTTGAATATTTTGTTTATCAAAACAGTCAACTGCTTGAAATACTTCACTTTGGTTAACACCATAGGCACTTGCAGCATCTTGAAAAAAAGCAATATTTTCACGTAATTTCATTGGACTACCTGTTGTATGAATTTTTGCTATTGAACCGGGTTTAAGTTTATTCATTAATCTTAAATAAGCGATAAATAAACGATATAGAGATGTATAGAATGTTAAAATATGTTTAAATTTTACTTGCAAAGAACAATTCCATCATGAAGAGATTCTTCATAGTCATTGCTTGGGAATTTTTCACCTGTAACAGCTTCAATCCATTCTCGTGCTGCTGTTTCTTGTTCAGGATCTCGTTTGCAAGAAATCTAAGAAATAATTTGATATTAGTATTTGTTTATTCGAGTATGGGTTATTCTTACTTTGCCTTTTACTGCTCGATCTAATGCCATCTTATGTCTTAACTGTGTTGATTAAAGAAAAGTGCCAGCAAATATATCCCAAATATATATACAACCGCAACCAATGTACAATATCCATCCGTAACGTGGGTGTTGTTTTTCTTCCTGTCATCCTTAATCTTTCGTAACTGGACAAAAATAGATAAGAAGCCAATAATTACAAAAATAGAGACCTGGAAATATGCAAAAAAAAAACAGAACAAAATGACATGAAAAAAAGTTATTTCCGGCCAACTGGCTTGCTGGTGGCTAAAAAAGTAAGCTTTTACTTAATATGGTTAGAAACCGCGTAGAAAAAAGAATATAACATTCTATGACAGTTCTTACTTTGTACACAAACATGCATTATTCATGTTAATCAGAAACAGTAACTGCTGCTGGTAAATAATGACATGTCAACAGAACTTTTCGTTAAACAGACAAATATGGAGCAGAAAAGCACATTCATATCCTATGATGATAATTAAATTGTTTAGATAACTTTTAATTTTTAGGTCTTTTTAGAACATAAGAAATTTTCCCTTATTTTATAGAAATAAAATTTTTATGATAGAATTAAAATTTTTTATGTACTTTTTTAAATAAAACTAATAATGTGTCATCTTTATTCGATTGATCCCAATTGAGGACACTATTAAGTGTCCTCAGGTACTCGTTTTTATTTTCTTGTTGTTTTATATTCAATGATAAGCAACTATAATGTGACCGTTGTCATCGTGTTCAACGTTTAAAGTAGGTCTATTATATAGAAAGTGAACTAATAAAAAAAAGCCATATTATTTTATTTCAAGCAAGTGAATATATGACGAGTTTTATTATTCTTGTCCGTTAGACATACTTGCATACACGGTTCAAATTATATGCTTTTCTCTTTCTCTTTTTCTCTTGTGATGCCATGGGGATAGACTCATGTTCAATTGGCTCGTACAAAACAAACACATGCCGATAATATAACAAGACTGCAAAGATCGATCATTTTATCTTTTAAAAAGAGAGAGAAAAAAAAATAGAACAGAGAAAATGAAAAAAAAAAAAAAAGGTTTCTTACGTCTGGCTACAGCATGTTTAGATATATAGAGTAGGGGGGGAGAGAAAATTTATACAAGATGTAAGACAATATGAACTCTTTCTCTTTTACGCTTTAGTTCTTGTTCTATGATTCGATAAGAAAAAAAGAACGAAAGAAAATATAGGTATGCATAGTTGAAAAGAGAGAAAAGGTGGAATCGACGTTGTTTTATCCACCTGAGAACAAAAGCGTACCTAAATCACGTACATATACACATACACATACACATATCTGAAAATAACATAATCAAAAATGGCTCGTTGTATCAATGTTGCATGTTTATTCTGTACTCTATGTGTATTTATTGGTTTGGCTAGTCTTATACAACTTTGTTTGGGCATTTACTTAACTTTTATTCATACTGATACAGCTATAATCAATCGTCTTGTTAAAACAGATCAATTTGATTCATATCTGCTTTATATTCTATTTGTGTTTATTGGCTTAGGTTCGATTTCTTTGATATTATCTTTCTTTTCTATTTATAGTACTATTCGAAGACTTAAATCTCTATCATTATTTGTTGCTGTTTTATGGGTTAGTTTTTTTTTTTTTTTTGGTCGAATAATTTTTTTTTCCTAATTGGTTCTCCACCATCTATTTTTGTTACGTAGATATTTGCAGCAGCACTTAATATTGTTATGCTTATTGTGTCATTTCTCTATTACTTTGCCATTCTTCCAGAATTACGTCTTTTACTTATACGTACACTTCAACAAACACCATTATCAACATCATATTTAATCGATTCTCTTCAATCGAAATATAAATGTTGTGGAATTAGTGGTAAAGATGATTACAATAATGTTCCATTAGATCCACTTCCTTCGTCATGTTGTCATGTACCAAATTGTTGGCGTGACCAAGATATTAATGATCATAATGGGTCAAATAGTACAATATCATTGATGCATGCGAAAGGTTGTTATCCAATTATTGATAAATATGTTACAATAGAATTATTTATACTTATGGGTATAGCTAGTTTTTGTGCTTTATTACAAGCATTAGCTATTATATTGATGTGTACTTTATATCAACGTTATAAAAATTTTGATGATGATCCAAAATTTGTTATTAATCATCTTGCTAGTGGAAAATCAATGAATAATAGCAATGATAATATGCAAGGTTCATCAAAAACTATTGAAGAAACAGTTGAAATAACTCAAATTTAAATTGAACATTATTTCTTTTGCAAATAATTAATTATGACAGACTTTAGTATTAGAATTTATGACTATTAATGTTTTTGTGTGTGTTTATGTGTTTTTGTAGATTTTTTTTTTGTTTGTTTTTATTTGCTGTGTAGGTACTATGTGACATTACATTCTTTGTTATAGATTTACGAATATGTTCGTAATAAATTATTTCATGCATCGAATCATAATGAAAATTATACGAGCATCATATGAAAAATAAAGCATTAGCCATAATAAATGGTCCTTTTTTTATATTTATTTTTCTTTCATTTTCTCGAACGTTTATTTTGAAAAACCAAATCTGCTATAAAATGTAACATAAAGAACTTTACAAGGTACATCCAAAACCTTATTTTATATATATGCTTGTTTTGTTTTCCCAATGGACATAATTCTATATGACCAATATTCAACACTGAAAATATAAATATTTTTTAATCTCATCGATGAAAGACAATCAATGCACTGGTGAAAAGTATTTCTTATTAGAATATGTTTATGCTCCAAGGTGACAAGCAACAGACAAACGAAGAGACATAAACCAAAAGGTTGTATATTCAAAAAGAATTATAATGTGTTTAGAAACTTCTAAAAATTGCCTTAAGTATCCAATTATATGTAAAACTGGTGAAACATTATCATATGAGCATTATATTGAAGTTGTTCTTCCATATGCACAAATTGAAGGCCAACATCTACTTAATGATGATTTCGTTTATCAACAGGATGATGCCATATCGCATACAAATCAAGAATCATTGGCATAATGTGAATAAAATTTCATGCACTTCATAAACAATCACAGATGGTCATCAAATACTTATGATCTCAACATTCTGGATTTTTATGTGTGAGACACTAAAGGTGTATATATTAAATGAGCTGTTTAATGTATCTTGTAGAGTTTTTCACGTTGCATATTATGATATATTTTGTATTTTCAAATAAATGAACTAGTCGATGAAATCAGAAATAGAAAAATCGACCATTGATTATGGGTCACTCGTTATTTTATCAATAACTAAGTAATCGACAAAAAATACTTGAGACCACTTATCGATGAATTAAGTGGTAGAATCATTATTTGAAATAATAGAACTTTTCTCTATAAAAATGTAAAAAGAGAACAATGTTGAAAGATATGTTTTTTTTTTTTGCTTTTATTCTGTATTTCATTGAGATTATATTGAATATCTCATCACAGTTTCTTATTTTCAAGCACTTATGAAGATTATGATGTCTAATCTTGATGATTTATCTCTTTTAGGATAATAGATGAATATCTTGATATGATCGAAATATGAATAATTTGAAAGATAAATTTTTACACTAACATAAAAATAAAAGATCTTATTGTAAAAGTTAAAATATCAAAGTTTATAATAATTCATTTAGTTAATAGTCTTTGTTTTTACTTAAGGTATACAAATCAATACGAAATAAAATAAAATAGAAGAAATATGACTTATTTGGTTCACTATTAAGCAAGTCACAGCTCTTTCTCGCAAAGGTCAATATTTGTCATAAAAATTGAAATTGAGATGATAGCCTGACTTTCATAATTGCTATTAGAGTTTTTTTTTATTTGGTAACTAGCTTTTGGCCAATATTTTTGATGATTTCTGAAAAAGTAGGAAATATTTTTCGTTTTTCTTCTGTTTATGATTTTCTAATCGTGCCTTTCAGAATTCTCGCAGAAACTCCATTATAGTCGTTTGTTTTTTTTTGTTTGAAAGAGCAAGTGAAGATGAAATGCCTGATAGAATTCATTTTTTGAATTGATTCTTTCAATAACTATAATTTACTAATTGAGTAAATAGGATAGTAGAATTTTTTTTTTTAAATGTCAACATTTTGTACAATCATATTCACTAACATGTTATCAATAAAATATTTTGTTATACTAATAAAATAATATGCTATGTTTCACATTCAATCAATCAATTAAACATCGATAAATTAATTATTCATAAAACTAAAATATATTCAAATACTAAATCAATGAATTTCACGTAAAAAAAAAAAACAATTACTATTGAATGAATAATATCATTTATTGATGTATGTTAATCCAAGATTAATGATGTGTGGATGTCGAAAAAAAGATCGTTTTCCAGGAAATTAACATCACTTGAAAAATGACTGTTCGTTCCTCTGTATTTACCTATTATCAAACATTGCATTATTTCACTATTTTTGTTAGTTACTTCTTTAATAGACACATTTTCAGATTAGCAGAAAAGGATTAATTTCAAGCATAAATAAAATACATTGTTTGTTTGTTTGTTTTTTTTTCTAATAAAAACGATCGAGTCTCATGTGTCATATGAAAAAAATTTTGTTCTATTAAATTTAGTAGAAAATAACAAAGTTTTATGTACCCATACTAATTGTTCTCCTACTTCAATTTACATATGTCAAACTATGGATACATCGACAAGATTTACTATACATAATAACTCAAGGCTATTTCATTGTTGTTATACGTTTCTATTTGACATTACTTTATATTTTGTTCATATAATTTTTTCTATTGAAGTCTTATTGACGTCATGTTTTCTATTTTCAATAATATGAGAATTCATTTGTCATATATGATTTTTTTTGTTTGAAATATAATTGACGATTGAATTTGATTTTTCTTTTCTTATGTGCATGTCGTGTTAAATAATACTATGACAAAAATTTGTAAACAGTTTTTAAAAATGTATAAAATATAATGTACAAATGGGAGTAACAATTTTTACATGTCTTTTGCTTTTTCAACACACTGTTCTCATGTTATAAAAATTACAAATTTAAAGTGTGTTTATTGTTGTGTATGTCATTGTTATTTTCTTTCGAAATGTAGATATTTTAGAAAAATATGGGTAATGAACAACAAGGTGGTACAAGTCATCATTTTATTAATGATGCCTCAATTGATGAACATCAACAACAAAAACGTAATGGTGTTTTGTTGACAAAACATGGACATTTACCAATATCTAAACATCAATCAATGTTAACAAAATCTAGTTGGCAATTAGCACGAGATGCTTCAATGGATCTATTGTCGCGAAAGACGGCCAAACTAAGTTTACAACAAGGTAATAATTATTTTTCTAAATTAAAAAACCTATGTTAATGATAATAGGTTCATCATCCAATTTGCATAGTCATCAACGAAGTGTGTTAAAGAAATATCATTTCCAACCAACATTAGCACCTGGAAAACCTTTGCCAATATATCGAGTACCTCGAATACCAACAGACAAAGAAGTTGCTGATGTATGTCAATTATATTTCAATATTATTTTTATTATTAATTGTTGTTTATTTTTTTTTGTTTTTTGATTTAAAGATTGCTATTGCTCATCAACTTTTATGTGAATATTGTGATGGTCCATGTATTGGTGATTATGTTCGTTGTCGTATTTGTATAAAAAGTTATCATTCTCATTGTCTTTATCAACGAGGTCATGTAAGTGATCCATTATTTTCATTACCACGTCTTGCAAAACAAGATTGGACATGTCCAGATTGTGTATGTTCTTTCTCTTTTTATTTCTCTTTGTCTGTTTAGCTTTTTTTTTTTAAATTTTATTTAGGGAGATCTTACTCAATTATTGACTGAAGAAGAAGTTCATTATTTAATATCTTCTTTCGAAAAAATGGATCATAATAAAGGTTAGATCTATTCAATAATAGAAATATGAATTGATAGATTTTATTAGTTTAGATGGTTATATTATGCTGAATGAATTTATAACATTCTGTTCAAGAAGAAAGACAAAAGATAATGTTAGCCTATTTCCTCATGATAATGAAGATTTAGAAAAATTACATTTTAATATCATGGATTCAAATCAAAAAGGTGCTGTTACTTGGTCAGATTTTGCACATTTTTATACTTGTAAGTTAATTGCTGCAAAAAATAAAGTAAATAGTTTATCTGGATAAATTATTATTTTTTTTTTTTTTTTTGTTATTTACTTAATTCTTTATATTCAAGACTGAATTAACAACAAAATTAACTAAAAAAGAATTGATATTTGCAAAAAATCTTTTTCTTAAAGATCCACGTCTTAAAATTGATACGGAAAGTAATATAATTATAACAAAAGATTATTTAAATCGAGTTCTTCATGATCTCATATTGATGATGAAGTATTTATAAATATCACTCAATAAAAAGAAATTTTTCTCATCGAATGTTTTTTTTTTTCTTTTTAGAAAAAAATATGGTAGTCATTTTATTGATGTTATTTTACACGAATGTCATCGTACTGATGAAACAATCGAGTAAAATTTTTCGACAAAAATAAGAGATTTATTAATAATTTTTTTTGTTTTTTTCAATTAGAAAACTTTCTGTTATTAGTTGGGATGAATTTCTTCGTCAAGTTTCTATACTTATTTTATTTAATCGTTCAAATCATGATCTAAAAACTTCTCGACCACGTCGTGCATCTATACCTCGTAATCTTACACAAACAACAGTTATTTCACATATTAATTTAACTTCACATAGTGTTGATTTAAAAAAAAATATACCAGTTACACCGACAATAACACCATCACCAGATTTATCAATGGATGCATCATTTCGTAAACATGGAAAAATGTTAGAAAAACTTAATCAACGATATCAACAAGAAGAATTACGAAAAAAACAACTTGGTTCATTAGTTGATTGGTCAATTGTTGAAAGTATTGATGAAGAAGAAAATTTAGAATTACCAAAATTAAAACCAAATGCACGAGATGAACGACAAACAATTTGTGAACCATGGTCTGTTGTTAAAGATATGGAACATTTACGAACTCAACCAATATTTATCACAACAACTCGTATTCCAATGGTTAAAGTCTAATTTTCTTTTTTTTCAATTAGATCTTATTCATGTGCGAAAATGTTTTAGTATTGCAGCACTGTTTTATTTAGATAAATTTTAATATTATTTTAAATAAAAATAAATGAAATATTTTTGAAATGGATAATAAGCACGATATAAAATACAAATAGATCTACTGTTGTCCATATACAATCACTTGTGAAGAAACATTCATGCAGGAGATCACTAGAATAGCATAACTTTGAAAGATTGTTCATTTGTATCAATTTTCGATGTTGCATTGCTGAAATATGAATTTCTCAATATATCTACACTTTTCATTAAAGGCACTCTCTTCCCTTTTTGTGACTGAAAGTTTTTGGTTTTTTCTAGTCACTGTATAGACTAAAGCAGTACCTATCCATTGAGTACATTTTGAGACTGAAACATTCTCTTTAAACCATGTGTTTCATTAGAGTATTGTCGATATTCTGCCTTCTTTTTTTGAAGAAACAAAATAAAAAGGTAGCTAACTGGAATAGAGCCTAATACCTGTAAAACAATTTTCAGCCCGATCGAACATGGTATCTCGAAGAAATGAAACGAAACGTGGGGTCATCTTTTTATCACTATGACCTTAGTATCTCATAGAAGATAACATTCGAAAATTGCGAGTCTTAAAAATCCTGAAAAGAAGAAAGTTTATATTGAGAAATCCATATCTCAGTAATGCAACATCCAAAATTGATGAAACTTTGTACATGAAATAATCTCATCGAGACCTTCGTGTGTACAAGATCTCAGATAGAAATTTCCCTAATATAATTTTTTTTCCAAAAAGTGGACTCTGACAGAAGGAATCTACTAAAAATTCGCTATTTCCATCAAATGTAAGTATGAACAACAAAAAATCTTTGACGGTTATACTACTCTAGTAATGCTTTACATATTGATAAAACGTGAAAGCAAACGGAACGGATTATTTGGGCATTTTCCCTCGTTAGACAAGTTATTATTCTAGAGGAAAGCAAACTATAAATATAAAAATACTTGTATTAACTTTGCATAGTTTTCATAAGGTTCAAATGTACTCACTTTAGATGAATTGGAATATAGATTTTCCAATACAAGCAAAGAAGATCTATACGAAAAATCTGAATAGTATCCATTAAAATCTGTCAAAATTTTCCTTCGCCTTGAGTGAATAAAGTTACATGCCTATTGAGCATTTGTAATAGTGAAGAAACTCGCAATGCAAGATCCTTTTTTTTTTTTGTTAAATATGTCTGCTTCTCCATAGAACTTTTTTTTTCTAGTAAATCAGATCAATATTTCTTGTTTCGAAGGTTACATTTCGATAAACATAAACATTCGCATGTTTCTTCAAAGTTGCAGTTTTTTTTAATGTAAGTTCAAAAATTTGCTTCCTGATCTGTACCATCATAACATATGGCAACATGTGAATTCAATAGAAGCGACACTAACTATATTTTATCCAAATATCATTCAAAAATTTGTTTTCTTTCATTTCGAACTTCGCAATGAGGATCTTATATAAAATATTGAGTGTACTCTAAAATCAAAACACTTGGCCATCTATGCAATCATTGTATAGAAATCTTCAAGTATTTCAATAGATCAAGAACAAATTTTCGCATGATTATTTATTTATATTTAGATAATATTAAATAAGATGACTATCTATTGATCAAAATATTTTAAAATGTTCATCTAATAATAAAAACTAAGTCTATTCAAAATTTTCAAGTAAATTTTCATTAGCAATAGCTCGTCGTAAATCTTCTTTATCTTGTTCTAAATCTTGTTTATATCCTTCGAAATCGCGTTTAACTTCTTCTAATTTTTGTTCAGATGAACTTGATTCATCAATTGATTCTTCACGTTTTCCAATACCTTAGATCAATTATAAAAGAAAAAAAAATAACATTAGAATATGTACTTCTTTAACATAGATTTTTATCTTTACGTTTATCACAATTTGTTCCGTAGTAAGGTGATTTACACCGGCAATAATATGTTGTACGTAATCCAACACATTCACCTCCGTTACGACAAGGTGATTTAGAACAATGATCTTTAGGTAATCGATCAGTATTACCACTTGTTATAAATTCTACAAAATAAAACAAATAACATGCAAAAAAACAAATACTAGAAATTGGTTCAGTTACTATTTTCACAATGTTTTCCATAATAATCTTGTGTGCAAAAGCAATAGTATCGTCCACTTGATAATGTTTTGCATGTACCGCCATTCTTACATGGGCTGACATAGCCACATGCATCTTTACCTAAATAACAAAAAAAAAAGATTATTATTATATCATATTCAATTTTACAACTAATCTTTAAATGACGAACCTGTTGATTTTGTTGTACGACCATATCGTGATGTACTACTAGTGTATTCTATGAAAAGTTTTATTATAAAAAGAGTTTCTTTTTCCTTTAATATGTTAAATAATATTTACTTTCATACCAAGGGGTACTACTAGTTTTCCTGCCGAATGTATCATCATAAATTGATGGTTTCGACGGAGTTGGTCGAGTAATACTAGGTCGAGTTGTTGTTGAAAATAAAGCTATAATGGCATCTGAACTTGGTTTTTCAGTAGTTGTCGTTTTCTTTCCTTTCAAAAAGCGTTTCATAGCTTCAACAACATCTTGAATACAAGAAAAACAAAATATATATATTGATTAATTTAAAACCATTTCTACCTTGTGGAAAATTATCAGTATCTTCATTGTAACCTTCCATTTCGTCTTCTTCATCTTGAAGATTATCATTACGAGCACGTTCAGCATGTAATACTGAAACCAACAGTACTACAGCTAAGAATAGAACAAGTAAACGATGATCGACCATTCTTTTGATTTGAAGAATTTATGGAAATGAAAGAAAAAGAAAACATACTATTATATATAACTGATAAAGTCAATTTTACAATCTCGTGTTGACAAATGATAATCAATAGTGGAAGATATTAGAGATAAGACAATATAAATTTATTCTCTTTCCCGATTTAGACGTAAATAAAATTTCTTCATGTCATTGTGTTGATAAGTGGTAAAGATAATAACTAAAAATAATTGATTAGACGTTGTTGATAGTTTCATTATCTTCATCCATCAATCAAGTACAAAAACCACTCATGAAAGTTTATTATTATTATTACGATTATGAAGTAAAGAAACTTGGTAATACTGCGAAGATATTTCAAACATGAAGATATCTATAATCTAGAAGTTAATTATCAATATTTTTATGTTTATGCAATATCTATGTAAAACGGGATTACCGCATTAGGAAGGAACTGATGTAGGCTTTCTATTATCAGAAATTTCGAACTTTCTGTAAAATACTTTACAATTATCCTTGGAAATCGTGAAAGAAAGAGAATTTTAGTGATTTTAGATATGCTTTCCCTAAGACAAAATACGATAGTAAGTCGGCAATTTCATCATCTCCTAGCCGATCTCTGTCAACAAGATGAACAAAAATAGTTTCTGTCACTCTCGACAATAATAGAGAACTCTAATACAGAATATAGTATCCATTCACTTTAGTTATAGAGATTGTGAGATATAATTGAAGAATGTTGGATCAACTAACTAACAGTAATAATCTTTTTTTAATGACAACAAAACTAATATTTCAGTCTATTGTTGCGATCATTGTCAAAATCTTTTTATTTTCAATAAATTTTTTTCATTTCAGTTATACTTTCATTCATATTTTTAATTGATCAATATTTATATATTTTTTTCTCATACCACATGTGTCTATAAATATACGAATGAATTGCACTTCTGACAGCAGTTAAATTTTGATTAACATTAACAACAAGATCTAACTGATTTTCGCTAACATCAACACCATAACTTAATACTAGTCGATAAAATAAAATGAAAAAAAAAGCAAAACGATGAATAATAAATAATCATCTCTAAGCTACTTGATCATAAATGAAAAATCAAAATAAAATTAATCAATCACATGATTTTTATTTCTGTTGAAATATTGACAAAATAGAACATCAAACAAATAATTATAGTAGTAATCTTTTTCAATAAAAACAAAGCGAATATTTTTGATCTATTGTAAGAGTGTAGATATGAAATCCATCTCCTCATGTTATTGATATTTGTCAAAATTCATCAACTTCTAAATCGATCGTTCCAGCTCTCAAATCCATGGATTTCTGGCAGAAACTCACATGAAAGACGCTGTTTTCAGCCAGAATACTAAAAGAATGGTATGAACTTCGAAGCAGAAATCTGATGATCGTATTCGGTAGCGGTTGGTTTCGGCTGGGTCCAGATAAATCGAATCACTACTTTGAAGTTGTTATCATTCTCCGGCCGTAACTGATTCACTTGGGTTCATGGAAGTGTTATAATATGAAAAGTTATGTTACAATTTAAAATCAGCATCTTATTATCTTTTGAATAATATTTAAATTTTCTGAATCAATCAAATAAATCCAACAAAGATTAGTGATTTAACTACCATTTGATATTTCAGATGTTGAGATAAACTTTTTTTTCTGATTGAAAGTACCATATTTCGTTTTGATTATATTCTCTTAAACATATCTCACAGCAATTTAACTACATATAATCACATGATTCTTTCTTTTAAGTCAAAATCGTTTGAGAAACGCATCATCAAATAAATATAGAACAATAATAATCTTTTCTAATGATAATAAAATAAAATATTTCGGTCTATTATTTCAATCATTTTTGAACTTTTTATTTAAATCATATTTTTTTGTGTCCCAGGTAGACTTTCATATACGATTTATGAAGTTCATTGATATGATGTCTCTTTTTATTAAACAATGCATTTAGTCATATTTGTTATAAGAAGCCTCACTAAATCAAAATCTTCTTAGGCTATTTCTTAGAATAAGATCTTTCTCACCAAATACATTAAAGAATTATTTATTGTTATGATATGAAACAAAAATAATGCATCTACTAGCGTCCTCTTGAGTTGAAATATTCTCATTAGTAAATCGAGTTAAATCAATCAGATAGAGTGTCATGATCGTACATTGTTTACCAAGGATTGCCGTCACTTCTTTTTGTTTTTTTACGACACATATACGTACATATATTTCATAACTATCATGTCAATATCTCTTCTTTCAAACACATATAATCGACAAAATTGGGAAGATTCAGTATGTATTTGCTTGGTTTTATTTATTTATTATTGAATTATATTTTAGGAGTTTCCAATTCTATGTCAAACATGTCTTGGTGATAATCCATATATTCGAATGGTAATTTTTTTATTTTACTATTTTAAATATAATTTATTAATTTAGATGAAAGAACGCTATGGTCAAGAATGTAAAATTTGTAATCGTCCATTTACAATTTTTCGTTGGTGTCCAGGTGCTCGTATGCGTTTTAAAAAAACAGAAATTTGTCAAACATGTAGTAAAGTAAAAAATGTTTGTCAAACATGTTTACTTGATCTTGAATTTGGTTTGTAGATTTTTTTTTTTCGTACAAAACAAAAGAAAAAAATTTTTAATATTAGGTTTACCTGTTCAAGTTCGTGATGAAGCATTACAAATAACTGATAATATTCCAAAAGGTCAAGTTAATAAAGAATATTTTACACAAAATGCTGAAGTTCAAGTAATAAATCTTAATTAATTATTAGTTTTTCATTTCAATACAAAATTTAATTTTATTTAGTTGTCACTTGAACAAACACCACAACCATATGGTCAATTAGCTAAAGCACAACCACCAAGTGATGTTCTAATGAAATTAGCTCGTTCAGCACCCTATTATAAACGAAATCAACCTCATATATGTTCATTTTATGTCAAAGGTGAATGTAAACGAGGTGAAGAATGTCCATATAGGTATGAATTTTTTTTTATTTTTAATAAAAAAAAGTAATTGAATATTATTTTATATTTCAAGACATGAAAAACCAACTGATCCAGATGATCCATTATCGAATCAAAATATTCGTGATCGATTTTATGGTGTTAATGATCCAGTTGCAGACAAATTATTATCACGTTATAAAGAATTACCACAATTAGAAACACCAGAAGATAAAACAGTAACAACACTTTATATTGGAAATGTTGTTGATATGGATGAACAACAACTTCGGTTTGTTTATTTTACTTTTTTGTTCAATGAACAAAAAAAAAACAATATTTTTTTTATTATTTCTCTAGAGATCATTTTTATCAATATGGAGAAATTCGTTCAGTCACTGTTGTACCTAAACAATCATGTGCATTTGTACAATTTACACAACGTGATGCAGCTGAACGTGCTGCAAAAGAATCATTTAATAAATTAGTTATTGATGATAAACGTTTGACTGTTAAATGGGGTAAACCACCATCAGCACAAGGAAATAGTGGTCGATCAGGTGAAGGAGGTGCTTTTGAAACTAATTATGAACCTGTACCTGGTCTTCCAACAGGTAAAATAAAATGAAATATTTTCTTATAAAAATTTTTTTTTTTTGTGTTACTTTGTAAGTTGTTCCAATGCCATCAAATGAATTAAAAACTGATTTTTTTGGTTTATCATCATCATCATCGAATGCTGGTGTTTCAACAACTACAACTTCATTTTTACCACCACCACCAATGCCTCCACCAGATCTTGGCGATTATACATCATCATTATCATATGGACATATGTCAATAGTAAATAATTCTTTTTTTTTTTGAACTTAATTATTTTTGTTTATGTTTAGACTAATGCAAGTGGTATGCCACCTCCATTATCATCATTACGTACTGGTGTACATTATCCATCTCAAGATCCATCACGTGTTGGTTCAACAGCTTCTCATGGAAAAGCTAATGAATAAGTTCATGTTTTTTTCTTTATATTATTCTTTGTGCGTACGTGTGTGTCGTGTTTATGTATTCAATAAAAAAAAAAAAGGTTTCTTTTTTTTCGTGAATAACATATGTGGATGTTTTTTTTTATGGTGATTCATATCTAAAAGAGAACTTTTAATGAATTTGGATGAACAATAATGCTTTTTGAAAATTTGATTTTTTTTTTGTGACCAAATTTAAAACATTCATATGGAATACATGATAAGGCGCACTCTGCAGTTGGTTAGGTTGAAGTCTCGTGTTATCAAAAGTTAAGAGAATCATATAGGAAGATAGCTTGATTTTTCCCCAGACATCATGATATTTTATTTGGCACATTATTTGTTTTAAAAGCTTCCGTTACCTTTTGCTTAGGAAGTATGAATGTTTCAATAAAACGGAAAATCTTTTTCGTTTGTTTATGTTTTTCTGATCGTACGTTCTGAAATTATGAAAGGAACTGAAGTGTAACTGAAATCTTTCTCTTTTTGTTTGAAAGAACAATTAAAGATGTAGTACCTATCTAACGGAGACTGGTTTTTTTATTATTAAGCTGTGTCATTATTAGATTACAATGGTCTTTTATATATAGATGACATTTTTAGAGAGGCTTGTGAATGACTACACTTGATCCTCTGTTTTCCATACATAAAAAGTAGAAATATTTAAAGGGAAAGGCTATGTCAGACACTGAATAAGCGAATGTAATACTTCTTTTATGTTAGACTATATTGGTATTTTCACGATGATTCTTGAAAATCGCCATATATGCAGATCGAATAAAACACGAATTCAAATATTATCAAAATGTATCTGTTATCTATTCAAAACAAAACTACTCTTTTCACCATCACACTAAGTATCACAAGCAGAAACGAAAAAAAAAAACATTTGCTACCATCAATAGTGTACATTTGTTTAGTAGATTGTTCAATGACTGAATCAAACTATACATGTACATTCTTCAACAGTATCAACTTTAATGATG